AGGCATTCTGGTTTCATTTACTTTTTTAAATTTATTTTTTAATTTCTCCTCTTCTAAAGTCCGGCCTGTGATCTTAAAAGATGCTGCAGTTTAGAACATTGAATTTTCACATTTGGCTCTTTCTAATCTCTTATTTTAGCATATCTCAATATGCTTTTACAGCACAAATGGAGTGCAAGAAACCTTTGGCTGGGTATTTCTTTGTAATAGACAACTTATTTGCTATATTTGCCTCTTTGTAGCCAAACATATTTCCTTTGATATTTTAAATTATTTTGTTAATTATTTCTGCAACTAATATTTGGGTTGTTGCTTGTCTAACGGTAGTCTAGTGTGTGCTCTAATGACAATGAGCAGATTAGGCTTGCTGGTACTTGCTTCTATCTCAAATAGAAGTGAGTGTCATTGTGAGGGCTGAGTTTCTGACACAATATTTGCAATTATAACCCCAAAAGTTGCTTTCTATGCATTTGCTTGAATAGTCAATTAGGATTTTTTTTTTTCTGGTTTCAGTGAGTAAATTTGCTCATTAGAGCATTTTTATGTAACCACTTTTTGATTGAGACATCTGTGGAAAAGTAACAGGGAAAGGTTAACAAGCTAAACTGAACATTAAACCTTAAAAAAAAATGTCAGATTTTGAGGCCTTAGAACTGTCCTTGGTGTAAAACATTTTAGTTCTTAATTCACCAGTTCATCTTCATTCTGGAAACACTTCAGTTTGGGGACTACAGAGAGATTTCAATTTAGGTGTGTTCCTCTGCCCTGTAGAATCAGCCCAGGGTTATTTTGCTCACCTGGAGATCTACTTCCTCTAATAGAGGCCAAGTTTGCTTTAAAACTTGAATGTCAATGTGTTACCATATTTCTTTGAGGAAGTTCGATTTAATCTGAAAGCCTAAATGCTTCTAATTGGATATGACCGCATCCCAGCTGCACACATTCCTGGCAACGAAGGGAATGCAATGAAGCAAAGATTTCTCAGATGCTGGCATTGTAGAGTGCCTTTCTTCTTCCTCTCTCCCCTGCCCTTTCTTTTTGGATTGAGGGGTCAGAGAGGTTCAATTTAGGTATTGAATTACAATGCTGGCACTATTTTGGAAAAGAAAATATTGACTGAAAACCTGAATCCTTTTTTTTTTTCCCTCCTGTTTGGCACGGTGTGTATCTCCACAAGTAAAAGTCTATGGATGCAACTGCAGAGCCAAATTAGACAGTATCAAAAGCATGGTAGCTTTAAAATTGTAGATCTATGGGACAGACTGTTTAATCTTTTACCTGCTGTATGTGATATAATAACATTGATATATGTTTGAGCAGCCTTTTGGGATTTTATATATCAGAGAGACTGTGTATTTTGAAATTTAATCCTCATGAAATATTTGACATCCTGAATGGGATAATTGACACAGGGACACTAATTAGGGGAGTTGTAATTCAGAAGGTTCTGATCATGTACTTTATACTGACATGTATATTGTCCCCCTGATAACTGTGTTAATGGTGCTTAGACGTGTGCATCAGGAAAAGAGTGCATACTCCTGGGAGCTCTGGAAATCAATCTCCTATGTAAAGCCATTTTATAATGCTCTAGAAGGAGCAGATTTACACATTTTTCCATTTATTAAGCTGATCGTATATAAAATATTCTGGCTTTGAAATAGTTTGACTCAGTTGGTGTTTTCATTCTTAGGACTCTGCAGTGAATATCTTCCTCTGAAACTGAGCTTGTTGCCTAAACTGCTTTGCATTTCTCAATGTTCATTTGAGATCTTGGATAAATCTGCTCTATTCAGCTGAACTGAGTCCTGTTTACCTTAGGCAGGAATTATTCCATTAACTCCTGAAATGCAAAACCCATGGCAAGAGAAAAGGCAGTCTTGTGATTGCACCTCTGACCTAAAGGACAGACTTTCTCCAAGTATGATTTCATTCAGATAGTGAGAGCAGGAGCTGGATTAAGAAACAAAAATATTGGCCTAAGGCAGACAGGTGAGCTCAGTTTTTTCTGTTTTCCCCCGGCTTTGTGATCATACTGCACACATGATCAGACTGTCTGCCTGCCCCAAACAGAGCATTCCATTATGGCATTTCAACAAATCCAGGAGCTCTTGAACTCAGCAGACTTTTCAAACTTTCTGCATGATCACATAGCTTAAGTCAGGAAATACTTTTAAAGTGCTAATTTACTACATGGTAAGTGAATACAGAGACTTGTTAATATTGCTTATGGTGCAGTATTCTACCACTGTAGAAAAGAGAAAAGCAATGAACAGGCTAAAATCCAGTTAAAATTGCTGGAGTCTGGCAAAATGTATTTACCAAATCTAAAACCACCAGGGGAATACCGATCTCACTCTTGAAAAATGTGAAGAGGCATTTTGAACTTTTTCAAAATTAATAATTTTTTAGGTCTCCTGGTGTGCAGCTTATATAGAAGCTGGCTTTTTCTGCAGTACAGTGTGTCCTCTGATGCTCATGTTTGGACATTGCTTCAGCAATGAGTCAGAGTTCCAGCTATTGTTTCACTAACATCAGTTCCTGCTGTGCTGGGGGTTTCCCCTGTCATCTTTTTCCCAAATTATCAGCCAGACCCAACCCTATTCTGTTCATAAAATCTGGTGGGAGGCCCCAGATTGGGCTAGGGTGGCCACGAGTTACTATTCACGCAATTCTAGCACTACATCTTACCCTGCAAAATAAATGCTGGTTATTCATTTTCATGGCTGACCCGGGAGGCCGAGTGCCTTGAGGCAGCAGTGAGAGAACAGTCATTACGAGACAGCGCGGGCTGCAGCGCTTTGCCAAAGACGGTGCTTGGGTGGGAGGGCCTCCTGTAATCAGCACGGTGCAGCTCCGTGTGGCTTCTCTGCAGAATAGTCATGCTGTCATTTCAGGAGTTCACTTAGGGGAAAAAAAGGTGGCAGATAGGCTTAAAATGTTAAGAATTACCAATGTACAAAAATCTGTGCAAAGCGTGGGGAGAACCTTTTCTATTAAAAAAAGTACAGATGGAAAGAAAAGATGGTGTATCTTGGGGGCAAGAAACCGACCAGATTGTTCTACTGCAGCTCTAAATTCAGACTGGATGGGACTGGAAGGAGCTGAGAGTTTCAACCTCTTATGTCCTGTAGCACAAGGATATGGAGAATGGAAAAATGAACATGTGATGTACAGACTAGGCCAATGTTGTAAATGTGCCTGAGACACCAGAGCCACCTAGGCTGGAACCTGTTGTCATTTGGTCTAATACTAAAGGTTCATAAAACAAGTCTTTCACAAACCTGAATTGTTTATGACAGATGTCATCTGTGCAACATAAATGCCACTGATAGGACTTGCTTTTGTGAACTTCTCTGATGAAATTTATATCATCAAGGCTAATGAGAATAGCCATTACATGTGTTCAGAAGTGTCCTTGACTTGTGGCAATGGCCATGTCTCATATGGTTTCAATCTGCCTTGCATGTGGATATTTCCAGAAGTTGTTTTTAAACTTTTCATTTATCTTTCTTATGGGGGGGAAAAAAATAAGTGTATGGTCTTTTCTCTTAATAATGCTTAAATCTTTTTCATATGTCCTTAACGATGCACCTCAGCAGCAGACTAAAGTTCAACTCATTCACTATTTAATGCTCTCCACAGAGATAGGCTAGGAGGTAGAATGAGCAGTTGTCCCTGTCAGACTGAAAAGTTGCTTGGTGTTTTGCTTCATTTGTGATGCTTCAGCATGAGACAGGCAGATTTCCATTTTAAGTGCCTTTGCAAATATTGTTGGTAAATTCTAACAGTAATAAATATGATCTTTTTTCTTGAGTCTTAAACTTTCCACAGGCTTTTTTGATTTTGTGCTGCTTACAGCCCTAGGACCCTCAGTATAAGAGAGAACAATGCTTTATTAAAACAAGATGCTATATAAAATGTGTGCTTACTCAGCTGGAAGCTGCTTGGCCATTTCTGCTGCTGCTCTCAAGCTCCAGAGCTGCAGATGGAGTTGGGTTAATATAACATAACTTTCCCAAGAGCCTGCAATAGGATTTGATGTGTTTTCTGCTACATATCCTCATCTTCCAAATTAACCTGAAGACAACTGGGATCTATTTATTTGCTACTTCTCTGAGACAACATATTTGGCTGTCATAGTAGTGTCTGCTTTGTATTTTGTATAAAACTGGCTCTCTAAGGATCTGGTTAACTAAGACCAGAGAATACCCTATGTGGAAAAAAAAAAAAAAAGAAAAAAAAATTTATGGCATACTTGAGCATGCAACTAGACAGGGAAAAAATCAGAAGAAAAAACCTGAAAAATCTTGTGAGAGATGGCTTGTGTGCCTAATCTTTGGTTCAATGTCTCCTCCCTGTTCTCTAGGCATGTGGCATTCAGTTACGAGTAAAAAATCAGAGAAAACCTGAAAAACAATAGCAGCAATGTGAAAATCAGCCCATGTACCCACACTCACTAAGTGGTTCCAGAAGATGTGGCAAATTATATTGATGGAAAAGCTGATTCATACAGTTCTCCCTAGCCCAAAATTTTGACAAACAAAACCACTGACTATGCCAGGTGCTAACAGACAATGCCATTGACCAGATTTTTATCAGGAAAGCAAAATCAAATATTTGAGAACAAAGCTTCATGAGAAACAACACTGTGGGGCAAAAAATAGATTAGACCTTTAACAGAGAGGACTGACAACTCCTATCCCTCCTCTTCATGACTCCTTGAAGACGGACAGGAGTAGCAGTAGATGTGCAACTTAGTGACCTGCTAGATCTGCTCTTTTATTCAGGCTGTGATGCCTACAGTTCCAGCTGTTACTGACCAGGTATCCACCTGGAGATGTGTGTGCACCATGCCTCTTGTGGCCTGTAAAAGAAGGGAGAACACTGTAAAAATGAGCTTGGGATGCAGCCCTAAGCATCAAAGTCAAAGCTCTTTCATGCTAAATGTTGAATTCCTACTGCCTTCAATGGATTTTTTGTTTTGTTTTGTTATACAGGTGTCTGTATTTCTGATGACCCAGCTTTTTGGTAAGAGGAAAACTGCATTCACAGAGGAACATTGTGATTCAGAACTTTTAACAATGAAGTAGCACAGGAAGGTAAGTTTTCTCAATGATTCCAGCTGGTATGAAATAGAATATATTGGCATTACCACTTAGGAAAAGCCAAAGCCCCTGCAGAGATGTACAAAACTAGAGATGAAAATATACACCTTCTGTAGACAGATCAGCTTGGTTTTGAGCCATTCAGCTTTTCAAACTAAGTTTTTTTCATTACACCTAAAAACATCAATGAGTGAGTCCCCAGTTCCCTGTGGCTGGCTGTTTGTCTGAGTGTCTTTTATGGCAGCTGCTGCAGGACCAATCGAGCAGTTGCTCCTCAGGGAGACCACAGCCTCCTCCCACCTGCTGTTTACATCCCCACCCATTCAGCTCCAGGGTTAGGCAGGGGAAGGAAATGGTCTCATACTGCATGTGCCTACGTGACCCAGTATGTGTGTTAGAAATAAATCAGCAGGTTTGCTGAGCATTGAAGTTACCAAGGGCCTCTGGTCAATGCCCGCCAAAGCCACGCTGGGTCTTCAGCTGCAGGTTCTCCATGGGTGAAAGGAATAGGTGACAGGACCACCTCAATGTAGCAGTCTCAATACAAAATTGGATTAAAGCAAATTAGTTTGAGAGAAACAATTTAAAATTCAAAATTCTAGGACAACATTGCAGGCAGCACTGTGTCCAGAAAAATTTAGGGTACATTTGCTCTTCTCTGTGCATGAATATTGATTGACAGGCTGCTTTTTTTACCCAGGAGTGGTGATGGAGATGAGGTGATTGTTATTATATTCTGATTGCAATTCTTTAATAAGTCCTTAGACTATTAGAGGTGATGAAAGGTGTCAGTAACAACAGCATCAAGAGTGAAAGAAACCAGTCCCATTGTATGTTTTCTGGTAATGTGGGGAGCAGATAGGATTTTCAACTTTTTAGAAATTGTTTTAGAAGTCATACTAAGAACAGTTAACTCCAAAACACCCAAACCAGTGAAAACTTCAGTATTCAAGGAGATAAAAATACCGCTCTGTGTGACATGATTTGGTCTGAATTACTGCAGGAAGTTGAAGAAGGCAGCTTTTCTTCCATCATCTAATAGGCTGTGAAAGAACAAGATGTGAAAGATAAGTGCAAACAACATGTGACAAATTCCTTTAAGATAGTTACTTCTCCTCCTCTTTTCCATTTCATTTGGAATAAAAGAGAGTCAAACAGCCTTTTCTGTTGCCTTCACATTTGCTAACTGTTTACACTTCCCTGTTAATTACCTTCTACAGTTTAATGGAAAGAAAATCTCAAATTTTTTGTTTTAGAAAGCTTGCTTACTATACCAAAGGACTAATCAAGTTCATGATTATTTCTAGCTTTCAATCCAAAGTAGGATATTTCAGAGATTTAAAGAAAAAAAGAGCAAAGACCAAAATAGACTTTAAAGTGCTTCTCATTCTGATGCAACATCAGATAGGAAAGGAAAGTTTAACAGTTCAACTGGGGAATATTTCTTCAACTTCTGGGGCAAGATAGAGTTGCTCAGGAAGCGTGGCATTTTCCCTGAGCAGGAAGCCTTCAGGAACTGAAGGGTTCTGATGACCCTTTGCTGTCTGAGACCAGCTGGAGAGAAGGAGGCAGGCACTGGAGTGTGCGATGCCACGTGAAAAAGAAACAAGAGTACATGAAAATTGTCATATCAGCGTTTGGCTGTGAATGTGCGTCTTTGCTGGTGGAAATGTAATGTTTCCAGAGTTAATTTCTTTTCCATAATGTTGTTTTATAGTCTGTATCTGCAAGGGTATGTTATTTCTCCTCTAGAATTCGACCTATTTTTGCGCATTTTTCTGTGTCATGTGATAACAGAGAGTGAGTATTGCATTTAAAATTCCTTAAGAAGTTTAAAGGTGTGCTCTGGAGCATTGGTTTCTCCCTTTCCACTATGAAGAACATAGACTAAGAAAGAATTACAAATGGGACTTGTAGCATTTTGGTGGCCCAGGGGTAACTCTCATTTCTAACTGGATCTGCTCTGTAAAGAGATCTGACCTGAGTGATAGGAACCAAGTGTGTAGTGATTCCACTAATTGCTGGATATTTGCTTTTTGTACTGGTTGAGTTGAAGGGAAGGCAGCAGGGCTGTCCCTAATAGCACTACACACAGTTCATGGGCTGCATAAAGTCTGTGAAGTAATGTGTTAGCCTGCTGGGCAGCCCAGATTCATCTTGGGAGTTTTGTTGCTTTCCTCTAGTTTTGCCTCTGGATTGTTTGGCTAAAAAAAAAAACCAAAAAAACCAAACCCAAACAGATGTAGCTAAGAAGAATGGGAAGTTTAAGATGCTCACATGGTGTTATTGCAGATAGGTTCACAGGGCATGTGAGGATGGGAATATTTCAGTTGGAATAAGAAAAGAAGAGCCAAATGTTCAATGAGGAACACATGCTTGTTTAACTTGCACTGTGCTGACACACAGTGGAGGGCTCCACAGTACCCTTTCTAAAATTCACTCCAGTCCTCAGTAAGAAAAGTATAGATTTTGAGTACAGAGGAGGCACTCAGCAACCCTAGAAGGAGCAGCAGCTGTTGAACCAGCTACAGAGAGGGCTAACCAGAAAACACTGAATGCTGAGATCAAACAAATGAGAATGAATCAAAGAAACAGCAGGAGACAAACGAGGGGATGTAGCCCAATGCACTGCCTTGAACTCAGTTCTCTCTTACTCCATAGTGACCTGGGTTTTATCAGGAATGGGAAGTTTTCCCAAAACATTATTAGCCTTGAATGGGTATTTGATTAAATTTTCTCAATTTTTACTGAGTTATGTTCATTTGTGTTACTGAGAGAACTTGTTTTCAGCATAATTTTACCTCTCAGAAGTTATAACTATACACACTGCTACTTTTTTTTTTTTTTTTTTTTTGGCACAGAAAGGGCAAATCCACTACATGTAATTGTTAAGCACTTCTTATCTGTATTTCCTGGATAAGAATTCCAGAGCACGGCCTCTTTTGAAACTCTTCTCACCTGCTTGGGCATGATGCTGCTAGCTTAAATGTATTTCCTTCTGTTTTGAAATAAGCCATGTGAGAGGATACTCCTAATGTTCTAAGCCAAATTGATAGTGCTATGTCCTGCCCTGGGAGTCACGAGCATTTACTGTGTTCTTCAGAGATATGTATTTGCAATTAGTCATCCATACGAGGGGACTGTTTAAGACAAGCCTTTCCCCCAAAGCAGTTAATTCTTCAAAATGAAAATAATCAGATAATGAGTTCATTTCCGATTTCACATTTAATGCCAAACATTTTTGGGTAAACAAGATATGCTGGCAGAGTTCTGCTCTCATTGTATGTTTTTTATTAACTAGGAAACAGACAGTTGATTCTTATCCTCTCTATCAGCCCAAATAAATTACACATATTTTAGGAGGAGAGACTTGTGCAAACTGGCTGGCTGGTTTCAATGTGGGAGCCCATCAGCCAGTCTGTGTAAACTGCACCCAGGCCCTGCTAGCAAGAAATGAAAACCTATTAAGACGCATCTTGGAAGTCCTCCACTCAGTGGAAAGTTTTAGCACAGTAACTCATATTCCTACACCATGAAAATAAGTAGGGCAGCAGGGAGTCTCTGGTGACTTTGCCAACTCAGACAGGCCCAGTGTCGGAGCTGCTGTGCCATTCCTGCTGGCAGCCCCTTGGAAGTGCGAGGGAGCTGATGGAAGCACCTGCTGTTCACAGTGCTCAGGACAGCAGACACTTCCAGGTATTCTGGGGCTGTGTTTTAAAGAGGTTGTGTAGAGAGGTGAGAATATTGCAAAACATGGGGCCAGCAGAAGCGTTAAATGCTGTTCTCTCCTCCTGGGGCTCAGCTTTGATCAGTGGACTTGCTACAGGTTTACAGACCTGCCAAGGAGAACAGAATCTGGCCCAGAGTCTGGGGCCCCTGAATCTTTCAAAGTCAATACTTCTTTCCAGACAGGAGAAGCTGAAAAAAGAGAAATTGAAAAGATCTATTTGGAAGTGGTATTTATGACTTATCCTATGTCAAAAGCATTTAAAGAAGATTGTTCTTAAGGTGTGCTGAATTTTACCAAGAGGTCAAACGATTCACAGTAATTTCTAATTTTGAATATTGCAGATTAAAATTAAGATTGATGTTTAATGCCTATTGTACAAATAATATTCTTCTGTGCACAATGAACTTTAACATTAAGAGACCAGCCATTCATAAACAAAGCAAAACTGTCTTCCCTGTTGATCCTTTACATCACCTTAGTGCGTAGGTTGATGGTGCTTGTTCCTGTCCAAAGTGAGAAACAAGGTAAAAGCAGTCTCTGTGCTAAAGAACTCACACTGAAAAAGGAGTCAGGAGATGTACACAGACAAAAGGCAGGAGTACCAGCAGAGCACTATGGATCAGCACAGCCTAAGCCAGCAGTTAAGATTTCGAGCGGGTGTTGCAGAAAATGAGTATTTCAAGGTAAGGTTTGAAAGAGAGCAATGAGTTTATTTGTATAGATGTTTTTCTACTTTTTAAACCTAGTGAGAAACAGTGTCAGAGAAAACAGTTTGTCTGAATCCAGACTGCATTTTTAGGAAGATGTAATTGGCCCCAGAAGCCTCAGATTCAGTTGTTGGACAGAAAAAAAAGATCAGTGATTGAGATGATTGTTTTTTCTGATCTACAAAATAACCTCCATGACAACGGAGGGTGTATCAGAGCTATATGGTGCAGCTGGAGGAAGACTTTGGCTCTGGTTTGAAAACTCTAGACAAATCCCAGCTTTGACAACTTTGCTGTATAACTTCTGAGCTTTGACCAGCAGTAACCTGAGATTTTTCTGGGGTATGGAGCAGAGGGAGTCTGGTGTTCACAAAATAAAGCCAATGAACATTGTGATTTCTGGGAAAAACAATATTTGCAACGTGGGCTCCAGACAGGAGAAGCTGGTGTATTAGTAACATGTGACTGGAGGCAGTCTCAGCAGCACAGCTCTTGCTATCAAGAGAATAAAGGAGTGTCTTGAGAGAACTTCTCCCTTCCGATCCTCTCCTTAGCAGGGGAAAAGTGCAAATATTTTTCTTTCTGCTGTCATTTTGAGGATGAAACCACCATTTGGACTTTCTTAATGCAATGTTTAGCTTTCAGATGACAGAAATACAACAGTTCACAAGAACTCAGGCCTCACACATGCTAGTTAACACATTCATGGCTGAGTTAAATGCTAGGAGACTCTGAGTCACTTAAATAAGTATTTGGTAATTACAACCACTACCATACCCCACTCCCCCAGAACAGATAAATATATGTAACTATTTTATTTTTTAAAAACTTTCTCAGATTATTTCTTTTTCTCTTTCAGTAATAAGCCTGATTTGGAAAGTTATTGTCTGGGTGCTGTGTTTGCATAAAGCAAATAGCATGAACCTGCATTGTCCAGTGTTGGAGGAAAAAAAAAACCTTCACAGAAAAGGAAGGTAGTTTGCTCTTGTGAGTCATCAGGAGCTGGGTGCTAAAGGAAGGAGACGTTCCTGAGGTAAAAGTTTCTGGTATGGGGAGAAGCAGTACTTTACTGTGGGTATGGTTCCACTAGGAAATTAGGTATGTGCCCTGTTTTTGTGTTCTAAGGAGGCTGTGCTCCCTGGTAGAACGATAGTGACAGTTTGTTGCAATGTTTCAGGTTGATTTAGCCACTTCAAGCTCTATACCTGGTGTTTGAGTTTAAAGAAGTTTGAATTTGGTTAAAAGTCTACGACTTTTCCCTACAAACAATGGTTAGGTTCTGGGCCAGGTACATCCCTAATCCAAAGGTGCCTTCTGTGAACGCCTCTGAAATTTCTGGTTCACAGCTGTTTTCTCAGGAATTGTTTTGTATCCTGCTGGTCTACAGTTACAGGAACTTTAGTATTATGTGGTTTTTCAAGGAAAAAAACCTATGGTGAAGGAACACTCAGAAAAGCACCCAGCTTCTCTGCATGGTCCTTTGAGGAGCTCTACTGCAAGAAAACAAAAATGTTACACCTGAATGGAGTGGTATTTTTCTAATGGGTCTTAATGCTTTACCATCTGGTTTGCCTGCCGATTTTAGCTGTGAAGGGATGTTTGGTGTGAGCACCCCATTTCATCACCTAGGAGGGTCACCACATGGTATAACAATGCATGGTATATATTATAACCTTTTGTTGACTTCTATGCCCCTGTCACTCTAGAATATATTTTGAGTAGGAATAGCCAATTTAGACTACTCCCTTGCCCTCTCCAAGGTCTGCTGCAAAGCAAATGTCTCCCTGCTCAGACTCAACCCTGAGAGGGCCCCCACCTCCAGCAGAAATGTCCCGGGACCCGTGCCGCGACCTCCAACTAAATGTGTAGCAGTGGTTTGTCCTTCAAGTGTGAAGCCAGTAAGGACTCTCTACCACAGTTTTTGAACACATTTCCAAGTATGGCAGGGTTCAGTGGCAGGCACATAATAGGGCTTTTGGCATGTATTATACTGTGCTCAACAACTCCACTCTCTGATCCAAACATGCCCACCAAAAATAACTTCAGTGAACAGCTTTTATTTTAATTATTCCAGTGTGGAACTCATGAAGTTTTGCCAAAAATCTGGCTTGTAAAGCTTTTTGTACCTAAGCACAGAAACCCCTAGTGTGTAGTTAATCCCCCACTGGGATTTTCCTGATCCAGTCACAGGTCTATTCTGCAACCTCATCTTTCTTTACCTATCACTTGCTCTCTCTGTTCACCCTACCAGCTCCTTGAATTCTTGCCCTTTCTTGGCTTCTGTGACTGTTCTTTCCCAGCTATCTCCTCTAATTTTCTCTTTTATTGTTCAACTCCACATTTAATGGTGGATGGTGTTTTTTGGTGGTTCCACAGTATTCCTGATCTCTGCAAGGATTTCAGTGACATCAGTGTGTGGACTCCTCTCTCCTCCCTTTATTCTCTCTGTCCAACCTATTACATGGCATAATAACCAAAAAACTTCACTTTTGCCAGTGACTTGCAAACTTGCCTTTTCCTAGATGATCTGTTTCATTTCATCACTGAGGCTCTTTTCTTCCAGTCTCCTTCCCTTCTTCCCCATGTAACACATGTGTATACATTTATATGTAAAAGTCATAAAGCCAACATAAGAAAAAGGGATGTCTCTGTGGTGTGGTGGGACAAGCTACTGGGCTCTGCAGAACACTTCCAGTGCCTGAGAGGGCTGACTATGGTAGTTACTCTCTCATCTCTATGCTGGATTATTTATTTAACCTTTTCTTCATCAAACCCTAATTTGCTTTGTGGGGAAATGCAATTTAGGATATTGGTATTTAAAAAAGTACTTGCTGTTATTTTGTAAATAACCTCAGATAGTTAATAAAGTGTCCCTCTAAGAATATTAAATGTGAACAAGAAAAACAAAAAAGGTTTGATATGATGTTCAGTTTTGTTGGGCTCATTTCTTAAGCATGCCAAAAGAGAAGGAAGAGGAGGAACTCTCTAGGGCAGGATACTATAGCATGATAGTTTTCAGCACAGGTGGGGAAAATACAGGTTCAAGTGCCTGGAGGGAAGTGAGCCCGGCTCTCAGGCAGGCTGAGGGAGTGCTCTGGTTGTAACTCAATTGCTGAAAGCAAGTCTGGCAGCAACAGCACCCACTTTAGTGTTTTGGTGGAGGAGGTCTGGCTAGCATTGGAGGAGGATGGTAATCCCTGCATTGAGATAGGTGACCAAATTCCAGAGAGGTTTAAGCTAATTCTAATACCTTCTGCATTTCCCAATGGCTCGCTTGAGCAGCTCCTGCTCAGTCTTCTGTTTGGGATGCCTGTATTCTCTGCTTCCCAAACCTCTGGATCCCAGCTTGCAAGCACACTCCTGGAAGTCAGGAGATGTGGTTTTCAGCCATGTAGGGCTTGAACATTGCTTGTGTCCAGAACAAAATATTTGTCTGTATTTATGTAAATGCTTAGCTTTACAGGGTCTATGCTTGCTTACCTTGATAAGTGCTGCTAAAAATAACAATATGGACATTGTGACATTTATGTGCAGCATTCATATAACATTTGTTGCAACATCTATAACACCATGCTGGAATTTATGGAGCAAAACCATGGGGAATGTCTTTGCACTAGCTAGGAACAGACAAGACATATATTTTTGAAAGAACCCCTTTGCATTTAGGATACTTTCAAACTGCTGCTTACTAGCATTTGACTCAACCTGAAACACAGTATATAATACTAGCATTTTCATTTTGTCTCACATTTGGACTGTGCTCTGGTTCTGCTACTGTAAGTTTCTGTGCCTATGGAGTGGGGAATATGAAATTGGGGATTTTCGAAGGTCTGAAGGTCCTTCAGTGTCAAATTACTTTTGGAATTCTACTTCAGCACTTCCATAGGGCCCCAAGTATTCTTGGCAGTTTACAATAGTCCTTGTCCCAAAGCATTTAAAATACATTTCAGATGTGCTGAGAATAATAAATCTAGAAGAAGGGAGAAAGAAGGAATGCAATAATCCAGGATATAGTTAGTGTATCAGTGATTATATGGGTACACTTTAATTTATTTTTAAGGCTTAGATAGAAGGACACTTCACTTTTAATTATTTTTAATTGACTTGCATTGTGACAGCGTAAGGAATGTTTCTAGAAATCGTATTTGAATTAGAGGGTTTCATATGAACTCTGTTTTTGAAAGAAAGAGTGGCAAACACTAGACTTCATTATCCTGTAGAAAGACTAGAAACAAAATGGTTTATTCATCTTCTTCTCATAGCTACTCTTTTCCAAATATACTGATGCATTTCCCAACTGTGATTGGAAGTATAGATAACTGATAAACTCTTGCCTTATGGCTAGTGCAAAGAAAACAGAACATAAAGTTCTGCTTTATTATAAGAAGAGGGATGCTGTAACATTTGAACAAGTATCAGCCAGAAGCTGATAAAAAAAAACAAACCTAAAAACAAAAATTAAAAAAAAAAAGTGAAATAATGGAAAAGCTTCTACTTTAACAATTTAAAACTTTTAAAAAACAAAAACCCTGGATTGTGTAGATTTGGTGCCTACTCACTGGAACGTCACCAAATCTCACTTGTTTAGCTTGGGCCTCACTCAAACATAACTGGCCTGAAGCTAGTAAGCAAGCCAGCAAATGTCCTGGCTTGTAAAGAAATCTGATCCAACCCTGTAAACCAAACCCAGCCTAAGAGTAGTGGTGAGGGGAACATATGGAAAATTAATGACAGATAATAGAATGGTGGGACAGCCTTAAAGAAAAGATTGTTGTTGAGTTTATGCAACAATGCCAGATAATAGTTTCTGAATTAAGAAAGTTACAGAGTATCTCCGCAATGTTTTTGACTTTGCCAGCACTTAAGCTCTAGAAAGGGCTGCTGTGTTTCTCCCATCCCATTGCACATTCTTAATTGATACCTGTAGCTGCTGGTTCAGCTGAAGCAGCACTTTGGGAAGCACAGAGATCCTGGTCCCCACCTGTTTAAATAAATGAGAGCCTCAGGAAGAGGAATGCATTGGAATTTCCTTGGGCTCAAACTGGGCATAGCAGCAAAGGCCAGGCTGAGAGCTAGAAGCCTGCCCGAGCACTTGGAGGAGGAGATGAGGATGGTGTGTGTGCTTTCTTTTTTCCTCTGCAGACCTCCAGGCATTTTGCAGAGATAAGGTGCTTTGTGTATGATGTCACAGATGGGGAAATAGTCCCAGGGAACTCATCATTTCACAACCCCTCTCTGGTGAAGAAACTGGAAATGGAATGAATGGAAAGAATTATTTTGGCAAAAGTCTATGTATTTCTGGAATATACAAATCACGTATTTGTTTGGGTGATGGCCTGGGATGCTCATTTAGGGTAGACTTTGAAATGTGACACCTTGCGGTAGCTATTTTGTACCAAGACAAAAGTGATCCCTTTTCCCTCATTCCTCCACTTTTGTTTTATTGAAAACCAGCTAAAACCCTAACATTCTTCCTGCATGGACCCTAAAATGTCTCTCACTCCTCCCATGGCTGCATCCATCCTGCTGCACAGGCAAATTGAGGTTGCCCATTGAGAGACCCTTTAGGCCAAAAGTTGTGCAACTCACCTGTTCATTTGGGTGTTAAGAAACTCTTGTGCCATTCAATATGCTTATTTTTTCTTCCTGAACCTGTTGCCTCTGAGCAAACACAGTGGCTCAGGACCCTTCCCAGAAAAGAACTGAGGAGGCTGTGGAGACCATGCTCACTTCAGATTCCTGAAAAGCAGGCACCAAGTGTCTCTGATGTCAGCTCTGATGCTCAGCTGAGAGGACAAATGGATTTTGCCAATAAAAGCTGTTCAGGTAAGTTACTGCAACTTTACTGGAGTTTAAAGGAATATACTGAGATCAGGGTGTCAATAAACTGGTGTATTTAGTAGCTTACATTAAATAGATGATCATATTTGACCATCATAAGGATTCATACTAAGCATAAAAATAGATGTCTATAAAACTAAAAAAAAAAAAAGGAAAGCTGACTTGTATAGGACAAAATGAATATGTAACACACAAATACATAAATGTATCTTATATATAGACATACACAGTGGTAATTGTAATACCTGTAGTGCAACAGAAAGCCTTAATTATGTGTGTGGGGTGATTTAGCAGACAAACTTTTTTTTTTCCCTGAGAAGTAACTTTTAAGCCACTTCACATGGCTCAAAGAATGGGAATCAGTATCAGTGGGAAAGGGAAGAAATGAGAAATGTTTAGAAATACCAATGTTACCAAACATAAATATTTCTATTTCTGGTTTGTTAAACCTGTTTTAATTCTTTTGGGTTCCTGGGGAGGAGTAAAACAGCCTAAAGGTAAGACATATGGTGTAAAAGAATGTTTGCTATGACCTTGCCAAACCTATGAACTGACCAAGAGAGGTGATGGCTCCAGAGTGCACAGTGCATGTTTTACTTTTCTAATGTCTAGAAGATTCAATACATCTGAAATATAGCAAGAAATTTTCCTGCAGGGCAGTGGAGATGTCCTACTGACAAGAGGGAGCTGTATTCTTTTCTCATCACCTCATAAACAGTGGGGTTCTGACTGAGGATGTTAGGTAATGCTTGTGACAGACAGAACTCAAAGTGGGTATTACTTTCATTGTATAACCCTTTGAGATCTGAGGCAGTATTGTTTAACAAAGCATATTGTTTTCCCCTCCTGCTTTTACTGAGCTTTGATGCTGATTTTAGAACTTGACAGCTGTGTTTAGACTTCTCTTACAGAGATGGGGAAATAGAGATGTTTGGGGCAGCAGGCAGCGTGAACTCTGTGGAGGGAACAGAATCAAGATTTGCCTTGGGAAACTGGAACTGATCCACAATGATGAACTTCTGGCCACCCTCCTTTTGGGAGACTCCTTAGAGATGAAGGAGGTGCTGGTCCCTTGTGTCCCAACCAGAGCTGTGTGTCTCAGGGAGGGACTCATGGCCACTCAATGGTCACCATTGTTGAAAGGTGTGAGCACTAGCTAGGCACCGTGCTTCAGAGGGGTCCCTGCCTTTGCTTGGGATTGGCATCCACAACACCCCCAGGACTGCTTGATTTTCCCTGCAGTGCTCTTAATTTTTGAAGTGTTTGGGTATGAATATTTTGTGTGGCAGAATAATTAGAGTGAAAGAATAATTATTAGGAATGGTCTCTGAAAAAAGAAAAAGTCAGAATAGAATTTTTTACAGCTATTGTAATAAATGAAGAGAAAACAAGCTTTTTGTCATTAGGTTCGAATCACTAACATCAATTCTTGTAGAATTGTGTAAAGTTTGTCCTCTACGGCATAAAGAAAAGTGTATAGTTTGTTTTTACTCAGTAGCTGAGTTTATAGGCCCATCTTTGAATAATTATGGATATCTTGTTCAATATCTGAAAATTGTGATATTCTGCCATCTCTGCAGATACCAGAGGAGAATGTGTTGAATGAGTTAGTGGGACTGCACACACAAGACCAGGGACTGGGCTGAAATAAAAAATAAAAATGAAAAAAAAATTTAAAAAAAAAGGACATTCAAAACTAATAAAATAGAAGTTAGCACAATCCTATTCAAGTTCTGAATATCTAGTCTCTCCTCTCATCACCTCTCCTCCTAATGTAGAAGAAGACTGAAGAATCTTAATTCTCAACTTCTGTAAGGTACCATGCAAACAAGGGCTCTTAATAATTGTGTGTCACAATATTGTTTGGTTTTCTATTGAGAGAATGGTATTTCAATGGTGTTTGCTTAAGTCATAGCACTGAGGAGAATATTCCTGAGTTTCAGTAAGATTGTATAGAAAGGAAGGTGCAAAACCCCAGGTAGCCTCAGATATTTGTTTCTGTGATGTTTAGGTACATTCTTGTTTCCAAGACAGAGTGAATCTTATGAGCACAGAGCCCTAGGCAGCTTCTACAGTTTCTCTGTAGAAGCACCACCTCCGCAGACCATGAGCACAGACCATTGTGCTGTAAAAAACTCCTCCCACTCTGATATGGCATGTCCTCAACATTGTTTTCTCACCTTCTTTCCAGAATTCATTTGCCTTTGGCAGCTGATGGATGTGGCACAACGAGCAATCCTTGCCATCCATTGCACACACTTGAACACACTTTGAATTAATTTTTAACTGGGTATCAGAAACAAAGATAATTTAATGGCTACAACTTTTAACCATTTTACAACTGATCAGTGTAGCAGGAGTGTAAAATCAGTATATTTCTAATCCAATATAATATCGTTTGTTATGGGTCAGTATCATTTGTATCCTATATAAATGAAAATTAGAAGTTCAGAGGCTTTATTTGAGCACTGAGTCCAACCTGCATTTATTTTCAAAGAACAAAATGTACTACAGGATTTTCACTTCTAACATAAGATGCTAAACCATATCCCTATAACTTAGCCCCTAGGTTTCAGTCATTTTAGAGAAGAAAAATCTAAAAATTCTTAGAGTATTTTTTGTCAATTTAGAACCAGATCCGAATTTCATTGCTTGCACAATTCTTCATTTTCAAACCACTGTGTTTGGTAGAAATGTCTGGAATGTGGAGTATTGTATGTAAAAATAAAGCAAAACAATTCTTAATAGCCACTCTAGCATTTAGTTAAACAACATCCCATAACTAGACCATTCTGGAAGTAGGGAGTAGTGAGGATGGGAGAAGTAGTGAAAGAAAAAAACATTAGGAGTAAAACTGGATATACAGTGGCCAGAATTAATCACTCTGAGGTTTGGAACAAAGATGAAAATATAAATTAAACAAAACTGCCTTTATTCCATAAAATACATAAAATGTTAGTGCAAGAATTCAGGGGGTGCAGTGTTTATTTCCCAAGAAAACTGTATGAAAGGCCAGGAAGCCTCTTCTGCTTGGTTAGCCTTATACCAAGGATCAAAGCAGAAAGGTATCTCATTTCGATGTATAACTTTGAAGTGTTTTCTAAAGAATTTCAGAAAATGAGCCTTAGAGTAGTTCTTACCAGGCTGCCTTGCATCAGAAGAATAAGTAAAAACTAGAATGTCTCTTTGCTGCAAGATGTACCAGTACTGTATTGTTCAAAACTTCTTCATCTGTCTCTAGTAATTCTTGGTTTGTGAAGACCAAGAGTCAGACAGGTTTTTTATTGCCTTGGGATATTTTTTTTTCCTCTGCTTTCATAAACATTCCATATGCTTCTACATCCATGTCTTGTTTTCAATTTTAGTGAAGGTTTTTATTTGGAGTCTCATAAAATTCTAATTTATTGCAGCTTCTTTTTATAAAATGCAGAGGGGAGGAGGGGAGTATTGAAATAGCATGTGCAAGGCAGTTCCAAGGAATGCATTTGAGAATTTATAATGTTGAGCATTTTATCAACCCATGCTTCAGTTATTGGCAACTACTTTTCCTAACTCTCCAACCTATGAACCTGTGATCTCATGGTGTGTGTGTAAGACATGTCATAGCAGTCTATTTAAGTAAGAAAGTCTTCTTTCTTGCTTATGCAAACTGTCTGCATTTTCAGAGAGTGAAGAGAAATCAGGTAAAAGGGCCTGCCCAGTACATTATGTGCTCCTACAGCTGTCAGTTCTCACTGTCCTGTTGGGGACTCATTTCCATCAGTGTGTACTATTTGCTAAATACTCATAAGAAATAAGATAGGAGTGATATATCCCTCTAGAAGTCCCAGATGACAGCTCACCCTTTCCTAGAGTAGGAGCAGAGCGTTTGCCTTTGGGGGAGCAGGGATACATCCAGGCTTACTTACTTGTGCTCTGTTCTGATTTGACTCAGGACCAAACTGAACAAAAAGGAACAAAGTATTTCTCAGCAGCAGAGCTGTTTTTCTTTACCTCTCTCTCATGTAAAGTTGACCAATCTAAATGAAAGACTCATACTTCAAATAGTGAAGAATTGTGGTGCTAATTTATTACCATGGTTCAAAGTTACTGTGAAATTTCAAGTAGTCTTCAGCGGAATTAACACAACCTTTTTTGGGCAAGGAACTACATCACTTTCACATAACTAAGTGATGTGCTGAAAGCATCTGTGAAAACAGCTTTCCAGAGTTAAGGGTATAGTACAACGTACATAGAAGGTATCATCAGGCAAACCAGTAGTTTTTTTGTGCACATGACAGATGTACTTTTGCTTATGTTGTATGTTTGCTATACATGTAAACATATATATGTACACACATGCAGGTATTTTCTGAACATATTCTTCTTTGTGAATGTGAGCCTCTTCCCACTCTGAACATGTTGTGGTATATAAGTACATCACTTGTGATGTTTAAATATTTGGGGAGAAGACCCTCCTGGAAAAAGTTCACAGGGGTGGGTCAACCTAAGTACTGAAAGAGAAATTCAAGTCCTGTAGCACATTCGAAATCTATTCTTGCAGGAGCTGTAAGGAAATATGAGAGCTGCTCTGCTGGAGAGAAACTGCTGGGCACTGGAACTTTTTTTTTTTCTCCTCTAAGTAAAACATAGAATAGGCTTTTAACTGCCTTTTCTCCATACTAGCTACTTAACCTGTTCACTAACATTAAGGAAAAGAAAGGAAAATTCCAAGAAAAATTCCTATTCAGAGTAAAAAATATAAATTAAACCAAAGTGCGCAATGCACACCCTTTCTTTCCTTCCTGTTTTGTTTGGTGTTTTCTAACTCGGCTTTTTGGACAGCTGAATGGGGGCTGGGAAAGTGTTTACAATATTTTCACATGATTGAGATGGCAGAGTTCTTGCACTCTGTGAAAGGCCTTCTGTTTTCAGATGGCATTGAAAGTTTACCGTCTTTCCAGACAAAAGGAAGAGAGCCCGTTGCCAGCGGATGAGTAATGGGC